AAAAATTATCCTAAAATTGTTGGAATCCATGGATCATTTTCAAAGAAAAGTTTTTCATGACTTATTTCAATTAAGATTATATTTCTTATTTGATGAGTTGAAAGAATTTTTGACAAAATGAATATTTAGAAAAATAACAAATTGAAGAATTAATTATCTGTAGTTTCAAAATTCATAAATTTATTATTTGAAATAATCTTTATTTCTTAATTGAAAATTTATTTCTGAAGTAACATTAAGTATTGAACAATAAAATAAATAATAACAAATTTATTTCATGAAATAACAAATAAAATATATTAATTTATTTCTTAAATAGTATGAAATATCTAATTCATATAATTTGAAAAATAAATCTTTTTTCATATAATTTTGAAAAATAATTTGAAAATAATTTGAAATTTTTTTTCCTTAAAATGCCCGAGTTTATGTTAAAGGTTTGATGGTTAACCACTTGTTTCTATTGCAGTTATCGCTTTCCTTATATCTGTGATAAGCAGTTTCGGAATGAATTGGGCGCAATCTCCTCCTTATATGCTGACATTTGCAGCCGCCATTATCGTAACGACAAGAATAACGGGTAACATCGTTACTGCTCTTAACATCGACATTATTCCTATTCCATTAAGGTAATGCTTCCGTTGCAAATAATAACCAAACGAATATTTATTATATATCTTTTTTAACTTTCATTCGTGTTTCTATTATAATTGATTAAGCAACGTTTGGATTCTCTTCTCTAAATTCAGTTGATTAAAATTTTTTTTTGCAAATAAATCGAAATTTAATTGGAATAAATAATAAATACTTATACAGATAAATAATTTTTATTTTATTGGCCTTAATTTGATTTAAAAATATTAATTAATTAAAGATTTTAACTATAATTTTTATCAAAGAAATTATTACTTATTTTTCTTTTTATATTATCATATATTTTACAATGGTTCTCAACTAATATCATATAAGAGACATATATATAATTTCAATAATTTTTATATTTAAGAGTTATTAAAAATATTTTATATCTAAAAAAAAGACCCAAATCTTTTGTCAGTAAAAAAAAATGTTATAAAATAGCAATCATATATTGATCAAAATTAAATTTAAAATTGTTCATATTAGTAAATCTTTCTCATTTATAAATAGAATAATCATGTATTATTTAATATAACAATTCATTTTCAATTTCAATGTTTTAATATAATTGATACATGGTTGATTTTTAAGATAATATAAGGAAGAATATATTTAATGAAGATATAAATAAATTTTGAAAAAGATGGATTTGGATTAGTTTGGATTTAGTTTAGATTTCAAGTACAGAGTGCAATACTGTATAAAAATTTGAACGTTTTTTTCCAATATTAACAGTATCATCTCAATTCTATTATTACAAATAAATAAAAATAATCTAAATAAATTATAAAAATATTTTTCAAAAACCAATGAAAATATTTTTTCAATATATCATTAATTTTTTAAAATAAATATTAAAAGACAAAAAATAAAGGATTTTAATTTTTTAAATTTTTATAAAATCTTCGTATCTTTCTCATTCATGTATTACTAATATTGTGGTTTTTATCACTATCTTTATATGATAGTTTCTAACTTTTTATTTTAATTAACTTATTATTTATCTAATATCTTCAATCAATATATTATTTTTCACATTGTTCCATTATTTTTAAAATTATATATATAGATAGATAAATAGATAATAAATAGATAGATTTTTTTTGCTGTGCAGTTTTAGTAAATTTAAATTTTTCTAGTAAAATAATTTTGAAAATTAGAACAAATCCGTATTCTTTTTGTATATTTTCGCATCTCCTCTTCTCTGCTTCATCTAATTGCTATTGCTCGTCCATAAATACGTCGTATCCATAAATACAATAATCAACCGTTTTAACACAGGTCTACCAGTTTAAGCATGCTAGTTGCCGTTGGAAATATAGCAGCTGTTTTAGGAAATTTTATATTCTCCGCGCTATTAGAAGTGGAGTGTTTAATCGGTTTCATGGGAATAGGTTGCCTGTTATTCGGTGAGTTAACAGAGAAATCAAAGCAATGTATATTGAATCTTGAATCTCTAACTTGTTTATCTTCTTTGTTTAGCTTGCTTTTGCTTGTCTTTCTTTCATCCAAGACCGGTTAGACCGTTATAGAAAAGTCACATTGTATCCAATCCGTAATGCATTAACGAAACGAAACGAAAGGAAAGGAAACAACGCACACTCTTCACCAAGTTCTCCAAGTTCGATACTGTGAGAAGATAGCCATATTGTGTGCAACTGTGATATCTTTGCAATCCGTTTCGAAGTTCTATTCGGAGCCTAGATAGATCGTATTTTTCCATCCACGTTCCTCGTATCATACAAATCGAATGATTTTAATTTGTTTATATTATGTAAATATAGAGTTACTAAGAAATATAGTATTTTTCTAATTAACTGTATTCCATTTTTATTTATCATATCCGAATTCCTTAAATTTAACAAACGACTAATTTAACTCTTTAGGAGAATTAAAAAAAGAAGTTAGAATTAAAAAAAATGTTTTATCTTTTTATGCATCCTCAATTCACTTTGAAAAATTAAAATAATTAGAAATTTAAAAAGCTCTATTTTTATATATAATTCATTTTCTTTTAATCTCATTAACATGAGATTTTTTTATTTTAAAAATATATACCATAAATAATTAAAAAATTTGGTATATATACCATATATCGATTAAAATATAGTCAAATCCAAAAAACATAAAAAATGTACTAATATAATTTTTGGTTTTCATCTGGAATAAATATCTGAAATAAAAGAAAGAAATGTTTTACAGTAAATGTATATTGAAATAGAATATTATTATTGTTTTTTTTTTTTAAATGGTTAACTGAAAATATGGTAGAAAAAAACATTGTATTGTCTTCTGTAAATATGATTCATATAATATTTTTGTGAATGCATTTTTTTTAAAGATGATCTTTAATAATTCTTTAAATGTAGTGCTATAAATTATTTTATATCATATGGAAGCATGCTTCAAAACAAATTCAAGCATTGCTATGCTTTAAGATAATATAAAAAATAAAATTATTTTCAAATATTATCTTTTAAATTATCTTTTTACTACTATCTATCTATTTACTATCTATTTATATTTTTTTACATTTATTTTTTATAAATGCATATGCATTATATAATTGAAAAAAGAATGATCACTTTGCAAATTTTATAATTTTATTCAATATTTTATATTTTTAATTTATTAGAATATTTATAAAATATATACTTAAATTTTGCATAAGTTTATGTCAAAAAATACAAAATTTTTATTCAAACTATTATTTATAAAGTATATATAGTAATAAATACGTGAATTTTTATATCACAAAAATATCTAAATAATAATAATATTCGGACTCTTTAAAAATTTTCTTTAAAAAGATAATAAATTATTTATAAAAACTATTTATGAAATTTTCTATAAAAATTTTCTATAAAAATTAAGTAAAAAATTAAACGATAAAATTTCGTATAAACATTTTTATTCTTCTATTAGATGATTTTATCAATTTTCTTTAATATAATGAGATATTCAACTTATAGAGATAATCAATTTTTTATAAAAGAATTATTATTTTTGAAAAATGTGGTAATACAATAATAATAATACTAATAATAAATACTTAAATATTATAATAATATATCTGTAATAATCTTAATATATCTGTAAAATCATTATCACATTTTATCATTATCATTATCAATGATACTTTTAATTTTATTAATAAATGAAAGATAAAACGGTTATTTTATTGTAGTTTGGAAATTTCAAAAAAGATAATGAACAAAAAAATAATGATTTTATTTATAAAATAGTATTTACTAAAAAATATTATTTACAAAAATTTCATAAAATTATAAGAATTATTTTAATAAAAAAATGGTTAATATCAAATCCATAATAACAAGGAAAAATAAAAATAAACATTGTTTTCAAAAATTAATTTTTGGTATTAAATAATTTTGTAATATATTTTTGTATTTTTTGCTTGTATTTTTCTTATGTCTCATGCAAAAGTATAAAATATTTCATTCATTTAAAATCATAATTCCATACGCCTAGAATGCATCCATATTATGAATGCAAGAATCAAGTTTGCTCTATTATAAATGTATATACACTTACATACGTAAAGTATATGCAAAGTTATATTATACATGTACAGAGTGGTCCAACTTTGATCACCTTGAATATCCTCATCATTCTTAGACATATAAATTGATTTAAATTTCAATCATTGTGATATCGATACAAATAGATAACATTTCAAACATCTCTTATAACTATCTCTTAACGTAAATATATTTGTTTTATTATTTTAAGTATTACTTATAAGTAACACTTATATTATACAACTTTTATAAATATTTTCAAATCTTTGAAAAATGTACACGTGCAAAATGGTTAAAGTTATTAGGTTACCTTGCATTTTTCAAACAAATAATATTCTTTAAAGTCTGTTGAAGTAATAATGATAATTGCTATGTAAACGAAAATCATCGAGTCATGTATAATTAGCATCTTCATTTAAAAAAATTTTATCAATGCATGTCACATACTTTTTGCTTCCAAGAATTATATTATTTTTTTTAATATTTAAGGATAATAACTTATTGGAATTTATTTTTTAATAAAATTAATCAATAATTTAGAAATAACCTTAATAATAAGGATATTAGATAAGATAGCTTTATCATTACAAAAAATATATAGAGAAATATATAATTACATGCTCTTAGAATATACATATAATTATCTTTATATAACTTATATATCTTTATATAAACTGTATATAAAATAAAATAATTAAACAATCATTATTTTGCAATAGACTTTAATTTCCTTAAATAATCAATTTTAAATGTAAAAAATTCTTCTATTATTAAAATATTACAAATGTATCTTTATTTTGCAATTTTAATAAAATATATTTTTTAAATAATTAAAAGAGATATTGTTATATTACTTAAAATTTATTTTATAAATTATCATATTTTTATGCATAATTAATATTAAATCTATAATATGATATTAATTTTTACATTTAAATCTACGATCTAAATGAAAAAACTTCTGATGCAAAATATACATATACTAAAAAGTAATATATCAATGATTTAAATAGAATTACTTATCTTTATTATTTATTTTTAAAAAACAAAAATAAGTTATATTATTAGAAAAGATATCAATAACGGAAGAATAATTTCTTTTTTACTCCAATTAACAGAATCGATCGCACAGTGATAAACATAAATAATATAATAATATCATAATAGAAGATATTAATTTTTGAAAATATTTTATCAAAATTTGCAATATATTTTATAATAATATATTAAAAATAAAAAAATTAAATAAAAAAATAACAAAAAAAATTTATATATATTTATTTTTTTTATTTTGAAAATTTAAATTATAATATATAATAAAATTAATGTAAAAAAATATTTTCAAAATTAATTTTTTTTGTCTTAAATAATTTAATAATTTTTTTTAGATATAATATAGAATACAACTATAAATATAGAATACAACTAGCTGCATTTATTAATGTATTAAAATAAATAGAATTAATATATTTGTAAGATATTTTTGAAAGTCGATTAGGCTAAAATAAATACAAATTAAATTCAAAAATGTTGTTGTGTAATAAATTAAAAGCAATTTAAGTTTGCTTTTTTTTTTTTTGTTTAGATGAAACAAGACCAAGACAATATAGAGATATAACTATTTTGTTTTATTTATGTCTTACTTTATTTAATGCAAATTTCAATTGTTCCTTTAATATATATTTTTATCTAGTATAAATTATATCAAATACATTATATTTTTATATCTCATTTTGATTTATTAATAATTATTAATATTACAATATTATTTAATAATAATTAATAATTCATATTTAATAATAATTAATAAAAATAAAAAAAATAAATAATAATTAAATGTGAATCGAATATGATCAATTTTTATTTTATTTTTTAAATGTGACGCAATCAATCATTATAAAATAAATAATATAATTTAACAACTTATATTTAAAATAGATTTATTTTAAATATAAAATGTTAGACTTACAATTAGAAAAATATACAAGACATTGTCAATTGAGATTGATTGCCATTTTTGAAAAATAGTATTTAGTATTTTTACATTCTGGGTTCCAATATTCAGATGGTTTAATTTAATTAATTAAACAATAAATATTTCTTATATTCCAACTGTTATCATTTTTATATGTTCAACATTAAGCAATCATAAAGTTTTAAGTTTCTAAGAATTATGGATTATTATCAACTATAATCTATAATGTGATGACTAATGGATAAAATTAAAAAGAAAAATATTTTATTATATTCTGTACATTAAAATGAACCTTAAAATTAGAAAAAAAAAACAATAAATATTAAAGAAAATTGCTCATTAATATCTAAAAAATAATTTTCATTTTGTTGAAGTGTTTATTTTTAAATATTAAATATCTTACTTTTAAATAATGAATTTTTAAATAATCTTTAAAATATATTATTCATTAAAAGGAATATTGAATTCATCAAAATAAATTTTTTATAAGAAATTATTGTAAACATTTCTTATTTTGAATTAAAAAATATTCGAATATTTTTGTAATATAAGAATTCATCTCTTTTTTATTTTCTTGTGAATATTTAGATAATTAATTAAATCAAAATTTGTTTATCTTCTGATCTTTATATTATATTTTAATATATTGCAAAACATTTTTATTGTTTTTTTTATTATACATTTGTTTTAAATATAAAATATAGACATTAAAGTTATATCAATATTTAAATATTTTTGGTAATTAAATATGATTTCTTCAAGTATTTAAATCATATAAAGATTTTTTATATAATTATAAATTAAATGACAATACGTGATAAAATTTTGCAATAATATTTAAAATTAAATATTGCATTTTATTTAATATTAAATACTATTATTTATTTAATATTAAATACTACTATTTAATACAATATTTAATTAAATATTAAAAATTATAATATACAATATTACAATAATTTTCTTTCTAATTCAATCTTGATTTTTATGTATATATACATAATTTTTAATTAATATTACACAATTGTATCTGTTATATTCTGTTATATTGTCTTCTTGTTTAATAAGAATTGTTGTTTAGTAAAATTAAAATTATATTTTAGTAATTTTTAATCTTTTCGAAATCACTGGACATTTGTTATTAAGAAAAATTGATAAAATTAAAATCATTGAAATGTTAAAAATAATGTTTATAAATAAAAATAAAAATATGTTTATAAAATAATATATATATATATAAACATATATATAATATGAATAATATATAATATATAATATATATATAATATAATATAATA